TTTGTTGACACCTAATAATTTATGCAGTTTGCATATGTTAGCCCATGGATTCCCAAAGAAAGTGTTGTTACCTTAAGAAAATATTGCTGAACTACAATAGACTAATATCTATACGAGATAAACTTTTAAACAAAAATGCAGAGCAAAGGATGGAAATATTGAAGTTAGATACATCAACATATTGATGTAAGCACCTTGATTTTTTTTATCAGAGATTGCTTTCTGATTAAATTCATCACAACCTGCTTTGAATTACCACTCACCGACATTGGAAAATGCATTGAAAAATGCTTATTTTAAAGCTTTTCATAATTTCCCTTGAATAAAAAGAGTAGAAAGCAATGTATTTCAATTTATGTTGATGAAATATTGCTTTTGCAGGTTACCTAGTGTACTATCTCTGTTACGTAACCTTGGCTAAACCTTCATCTATAAAATTAATTTCATTACATCCATTTCTTAACTATAAGACCCCTAGACTGCTATTATCAAATAAATACTTCCTAGAGCCTTTTAAACATTTCACTAGTGTCAAAATACTACTACTACTACCTGCTAAATTCTCTGCCCCATTAAGTTTACAATAATTTATTGTATCTGCCTTTCATTAAATTTTTATTTAAGGGACTGTATAACATTTAGCTTCAAACTGGTGTGGCTATGATGCTAAATATAGGCTGTGTTCATGTTGCTCAGTGAACCCATGCATGTGGCCCATGGGGATGGTTTATTTTAGAACATTGCACAACCCCTAAACTGAGTAATCCATGGCTATTCACTGTGGAAAAGAGCATACATACTTGTATTGAAATAATAGCCAACAAATTTATTTCACTTTGAAATGCAAGTTGCTAAGTATATAGCAATAGGAGTTTTCATATAACTAAAGGAGGCTAACTGAAATTCTTGATAGTATTTTACTTTCCAGCTTAGAACATACATGGTTTGACCATTAAGTCTTTCCTAGAATGTCTTTGCAGTTATCTCTCAATATTCATTTGTTCATTCATTCATTCATTCATTCATTTTGTTCCTTCTGCTAACAGAATTAACAAAAAATTTCTGATGGCATAGAAGAAACTTTTTTGCCTGCTGACCTCCCTCTATGCATCAAAGCTTTGGGAATGTTACATGGTGTAGTCCTTTAAGCATCTCCCAGAGATCAATGGGATACAGCCTCATTGTCCATTAATTAACCTCTTGTTCAGCATAATAGATCCTATAGAGTCCTAAGGCGGCAACTGCTACTCTTCGATTCAACTTTTTGATCCCAACAAGGAAATCAGAATGGATTAATGGATTTGTTGACATTCTCACTGAGTTCTTACATACAGTGTAAGCTCCTTTGGAAGCTGGAACAGCATAAAAGGGGGGAAAACACTAAAGGTATTAAATTAGGACTTTAAAATCATAGTTTGTTAAACAAATAATAGTTCTCATACAACACAGCAACAGATTGATTATGCATGATTAGCAGTCAATGTGAACGAGATCAATAGGTCATGATATTAAGATTATCAAGTTGATCTCCCGCCCCCTTAAAATAAATAATGTATCACAGAAATGCATTTTACATGGGCAGCAATTTCCTATACCATTTTTAGCGTTGATATTAGGTGTGGATATCCTGATATTGATCAGATCTGCACAGAACAGGAAGATAAACCCTTTCACCTCCAGTTATGATCCTGAACAAAACCACCCCGAAGTATTAAGAGAGAAAATTGCCCACAAAGAATTTTGTACATAATAACCAACTTCAGAAAACTGTAGAAAAGTCATCCTTGATTCCTAATAATTTTATGGACATGTCCATGCAGTTTTACTAGCTGCAATTCAGATGAAGGTCTGCTACTGCCTTCTGAGTTAGCTTTTTGACCCCTATCCTAGACTGAAGCATTTTCTGGTGGTCTCCTAAGTTCAACCAAGGTCAGCTAGGTGCTGCCACTGGATTTGGGCATTGTACATTTTATTTTATTTATTTTTCAGCTTGGTAGTCATATATCAGTACATGATTTTTTTAACAAGCAAAGTAACTGAGCACGTGCACTGTGGTAAGCTCTGAATATTTGCGCTGGAAAAAAGGTTGAAAGAACTGAAAGAAGAAATAGAGAAAATATCAGTAACTATTAATGTGAGACCCTTAGTGTTGAGGGTTTGGTGGGTTTGGTGGAAAAATGTATTGTAAAGTACAATAAATTCATGAGTCAGATCTCTTTGAAACTCTTTGGAGATTAACGGTAGGTTTAGAATGGGATGTTTTGTTTACCTAAATGTTGCATTGGAAAATAAAGTTCTTTGTTCTTACATTTTCTATACCACTGCTGAATAAATTTTTGTAAAGTGATTTATATTGAAGTACAATAACATACAAACGCGAGTCATAAAAACAAGTAAAATCAGGAGAATGCATGATCTTATATATAAGAAAAGTTTAATGCAAAGAGACCGGGCACACAAAACTTCCTGTTATAGTGGGCAACCTTTTAAGACTAGGGTCTTGGCTTGTGGTCAGATCAGATACTAGAAACCTTTTGATAAAGTCACCAAAGAAAGTGGCGCTGATAAACTCAGTGCGTGTTTACTTTGTACAGGAGCTTGAAAAGGTTTTAAGGAAATAATGTCTTTTGCCACACAGACACTTGCTCCATCCATTTTAGTGTCGTGCTAAAACTCAAAGTACTGAAAAAAATATTGACAACCAGTGAAATTCAAATTAACACCAACCAGTTTGATCCATTAGTGTCCAAACTAAGATCTCCCATTCACTTTCATTAAGTTCCAAGGAGAAGCAAGATACTGTGTGTATGTATGCCTTGTGAATGTAATCACAATATCGTAAATTAAGTTGGGAGCATTATTCTGGATCTGCAAAAACATTGCCTTGTGGTAAAGATAAAGGTTTCCCTGTCCAGTCGTGTCTGTCTGTAGTGCTCATCTCCGTTTCTGACCAAGAGAGCCAGCATTGTCCAAAGAAAATTTCCGTGGTTATGTGGCCAGCATGGTGAAATGCCAAAGGTGCACAGAATGCTGTTACCTGCCCACCAAAGTGGTAACTATTAATCTACTTGCAGTTGCATGCTTTTAAGCTGCTAGGTGAGCAGGAGCTGGGGCAAGTAATGGAAGCTCACCCAGTTGTGCAGAGCTCAAATCTCCAACTCAGTTGTCAGCTCTCCAGCTGACAAGCTCAGCATTTTTTTACCACTGAGCCATCACACTCCCTATGTATAGGTAGTCCTCACTTAATGACTGGTAGTTTAGCTACCATTCAAAATTATGATGGATCCTCCCCCAAAAAGCTATTATGACCTGATTCCAAAATTCCAATGGTGACATACAACATACATAGAAACAGACTCATGATCACTCAACTGCATTTTGGGTGCTTGGCAACCCACTCACCCTTACAGGTGGTGCAGCATTCTACACCACAATTTATAATATTTTTTGCCAGTTTCCAGCCTATCTGGCTTCTTTCCTGCAAAACACGCTGATAGGAATTCATGGATTCACTTAACAACTGCAGCATTCACTTAACAACCATCTCATTTGCATAATAATCATCACAAAAAAGTCATAAAATCAGTTCCACTCATGTGGATGCTTTGATTTACAACCGCCATGAATTATGAAAACATTAGAGGCACCATTAAAGTCATAAGTCAAAGACTATGTGTATAGGTGTGTGCATAAGAAAAAAAAAGCTTGAAGTAAAAATATAGATACTGAAAGCTGACCTGTTTTTAAAAAAACTCTGAGAAATGAATGTGTGGTATCCAGTATTTGAATTCTATTAAACAGTGAATAGCCACACTACTTAAAATGCATGTTCAATCAATCCTAACTTAGAAATATACATTTCATTTTTTCAGTGCCCAGTACTTTGTATATGTGATTCAAATGTCCTTGAATAAAAAAAAAAAAAAATCAGTTCACTGTGTGTAGCCTACATTGTTCCTATGCATCCCACAGATTTTCATGATCTAGCAAAGGCAAACTGTTCACATAAACTCTTTTTGCCTGCTTTTCTATTAAATTCTATCCTGCTTAGTGGCATTTTATATTGTAAGTTTTAATTTGCTGATATTTGAAAACTACAAGTAGGACAAAAGAGAAAGACACCAGATAAAAACAACTTACTGTATAAGAAATAAAAATCGGTCACCCTGTTCCAGAGTTCAGGGTGCCTCAGAATGGCACATAGAAATTCATATCTGCGTGATTAGGATTCAGTTAGCTCCTGCAGATTTTATTTTTTCATCCTGTCTGTCCCATACTGATCTGCAATGTTAATATAAATTCAGATGCTTATAAACTGGGGATTGTGCACATTTGATGCTCTCAGTATGCAATATTTCCTTCAAATCAGAGTGTACAATTCCTAATGATTATTCATATTTGTCAGTCAGCACATATTAATTTGCACATATATTGACTATTTTTTCTGTAATACTTAAGACAGATTCCTGTTTCTTAAAATGCAGTAGAAATGCATTACCAGCCACACTAATAAATTAAAATATATTATGTTTGCAAACATTTTAATAATAAAGTCCTATCATTTTTTTCATGGCCAATCTCAATTGATCTCAAGAAGCTAACGAGTCAAACATTGGGGGTGTTTGGATAGTGTTTGAAGTCAAGGAAGACTTTACTTTTGATATTTTGTTGAAGGGATGAAACTCAGTTGTGTAGGCCATTATTTTGTAGGCCCCAGATACAATCCTTAGGATATCAGGTTAAGGTTAGGAAAATGCCTTTTTGAAATCATGGACATGTCTACCATAGAGCTGTAGCTTAATTTGTTATGAAGGCAATTATCTACCATCTTAAGCAATATAGATAGTCCTCAACTTTTTTTTTATAATAATTTTTTATTATTCCAAACTCTCCCCCATACATATACCGTGATATTTATCAGATGTTAACATACATTCTTTTTACATTCATATATAAGATACTTTTAATAAAATGAAATAAATACATACACATGACTTTTGGTGTTGCTCGCCCATTTTCCCTTTCACTGTATCCACACTCCTTCTTCTCAGGTAGTCCTCAACTTGTGTCCACCATTGGGGATAGAACTTCCATCACTAAGTGATGCAGTTGTGACCATGTTCAATTTTATACCCTTTTTGCTGCAGTTACTAAGTGAATCATGTGGTTGTTGAGTGAATCCAGCTTCTCTCATTGACTTTTCTTTTCAGAAGTCCCCTGGGAAGATCACAAATGGCAATTACATGGCTGCAACTTTCATAAATACATCCTGGTTGCCAGGCACCTAAATTTTTATCACATAACCTCAGGGGTTCTGCAACAGTTGTAAGTGTGGGGAATGAGTTTAAATCACTTTTTTCAGCACTGTCATAAATTTGAACACTTGCTAAATACAGAATACAGAATAATAGTTAGAAGGAAACTTGGAGGTCTTCTAGTCCAACCCAAGCAGAGACTCTATACCATTTCAGACAAGTGGCTGTCTAGTCTCTTCTTAAAAGCCTCCAGTGATGAAGCACCCAAAAGCACTTTTGAAGGCAAGCCGTTCCACTGGATTAATTGTTCTCACTGTTAAGAAATTTTTCCTTAGTTCTAGGTTGCTTCTTTCCTTGATTATTTTCCATTCATTGCTTCTTGTCTTGACTTCTGGTGCTTTGGAAAATAGATACCTCTCTTTTTTGTGGAAGCCCCTCAAATATTGGAACACTGCTGTCATGTCACCCCTAGTTGTTTTTTTTTCACTAGACTTGACATACCTAATTTCTGCAATCATTCTTCATATGATTTGATCTCCAGGCCCTTAATCATCTTAGTTGTTCTTATTTGCACTCTTTCCAATTCATTCTTATTAATGGTCATAAGTCAAGAACTATCTGTGAGATTTCTTTATTTGACAAACAATAGATTCTCAGACATAATTCTGAAAATATTAGGGCCAAACAGACACCATTCATGGACATTGGTCTCTATATAGAGACATGTAGGTTATACAGAGCTTCACTGAATAAAGTAATGAGAGATTTCTTCTTAAACTTGTGCTTTATTCAAAGGGCCAGTTTTGCACTTAGGAGGTATAGACAAATAAAGCATTAACATTGGAAACCTAACCATATTTGTGATACAAAGTTCCTTCTACCAATTAAGAGATAAATAGGCAAAGATGACTGTGGTTTATCAAGCTTGCAAGATATGCTCACTATTGATAAGAAGGGATCAGCAGACAGAAAACCATCCCTAATGCAAAGTAAAGCAGACATGTGGACAAAGGGTTTCTGAAATGGTGGTACATCAGCACAGATTCTTCTTCAGGATAATAATGAAGCAAGGCTTGTAGAGAACCTATTATTGCCATCTACAAAAAGACTCTGTAATTTGGTTGATTGCAATAAATCATAGAAACTTGCAAAAAGTATCCACAAAAACTGCAAGGTATCTTTACAATGATTTTGGCACCAAGTTAGACTTTTGTCTTTATAATTCAAACAGTCCTAACGGTTATGATCAACTATTTCTTGCACTTCACAAACATAATCAAAATCAGTAATCCCTTCCAGTTCTGAAAAGATTCCTTCTTAATGGACAACAACCTGTCAAAAATCAGTATTTCTATAAAATACCCCAGTTCTTGTTTTCTCCCATCCATTTCTACTCCACTACTTAAGCCTGTACTTAATCTCTAAAGGAGATAAAAACAAAGAAATGTTGACATAAGTCTATATTGTAGTAATGTAGGATAGATATGATTTCTTCTTTTTTTTCTCTTTATATTATTTTTAGTTTTTGTGTTCATATGTTGTTTTGTTGGATAGTATTTATATTTAAGGTTTTCTATTTTTGTTTTGTAGTTTTATGTATTTGAAAACATGATATAAACCCTTCTGTTTTTTTCTGCTCTTTCATTCCTGAAAATACATACATGAGTTGGAATTCGGTGGAAGTGAATTAAAAAAAACCTCTGCAAATTTTTTGGGAATTGAAATCCATTCACCAGATCGTTCTTGCACCCCTCTTCTACCTTATTAATAGTGCTAAATACTGACTAAGAACCTGATATTGTTATTTCCATTAGGACATCTCCCATTCCGTTGCAAAGCTAACAACACTGCCATTAACTGTGGTAAAATAACTGAAAGTCCAACAGATACAAACTCTTACATACTCTAAAGGTACACAAAAAAGTTGCACTCTCTCTGTCTGTTTTCCTTGAACCAGTAGTATAAACTGAATGTATTGACTCCAATAGTTCAATATATACTCAGGGGCTTCAATTTTAAATTTGTATGCCAAACACACATCTAGCACTGATTCATGGTACAACTGAGTTTGTAAACAGACTAGCTAGCAATTTAATCACACCCAGTCTTAAAACTTTTATATCTTAAAAGTTATGTACTAATCTCAATAGACCTGGTCTGGTAAGGAAGTAGATGACTGTACATAAAATATAAATGGCTTATTTTTTCTGCTTCTGAGTCTAACGATAAAGGAAAAGGTATGTTGAAGTGGGATGTATAACTTGAACTATAAGGCTATAAGTTGTCCCTAAAACCTTCTAAAACTTGCCAGCACATAATCATAACCAAATGGATATTTGGAATACGATCCTCAGTCTAAAAGAAGTTTTGAAGCCCTGGCTCAAGGGCTAATACAGAAAGAGCTTCCATTTAGTGCTCCCTGATTCCTGTGTACTGTATAACTGAAGATTCAGATAATTATTTATGATAACTTTAACTTTACCTCTAGATTACTCTAAAGCATTGTATTTTGGCTTGCTTCATGTATCATACATGGACACATCTGTACAGTTTTCTTGCCATTGATATTAATGTTTTTCAACTTACTGCTGGAGGAAACATAGGATAACTCTGTTCAAAGTGTACATTATTTGCCCTAACCCCAACCCCGCTCATAGTCACCCATGCCATGGTCATTTCTTAGATGGACTACTGCTATTTGGTGTTCATAGGGCTGCTGATAAATAACATCCAGAAGTAACAGCTGGTCCAGAAAGAAGTGGCTCATATAATTAAAACCATTTCTTTTATGACAAAAATCACTACCGTGAGAGCTGCACTACTTGACAATTGGTATCCAGGTGCAATTCAAAATGTTGGTTATCATTGTTAAAGCCCAGTATAGCTTAGGATATAGTTAGCTATAAAAGCATCTTCTAATGGAACATAGAATACTAGGGAATTTAGAGGACTTTAAGTCCAACCCCCTGCTTAAGCAAGAAATTCTATAATGTTGGACAGCAATATGAATGTTCCTATTCATTTCATAAAAGGGCACCCTTGAGTCCTATCCTTGACAGACTGTTGTTATGACATTAGTATGTCTTTTCAGTTATTGCCAGACTCCTTTGGAACAATGTCCTGCACAAAATCAGATCAGGAAAAAGATCCTCAGGTACCTTATTTGCAATTGTTGTTCTTTTAGAATAGAATAGAACTGGAAGGGAAACTTGGAAGTCTTCTAGTGCAGCCTCCCGTTCAAGCAGGAGAACCTATACCATCTCAGACAAGTGACTGTCCAGTCTCTTCTTAAAACCTCCAGTGATAGAGTGCCCACGATTTTTGAAGGCAAGCTGTTTCACTGGTTAATTGTCCTCACTGTTAGGAACTTTTTCCTTAATTCCAGGTTGTTTCTCTCTTTGGTCAGTTTCCAACCATTGTTTCTTGCCTTGCCCTCTGGTGCTTTGGAGAATAGTTTGATGCCCTCTTCTTTGTGTCAGCCTCTCAAATACTGGAATACTGCTATCAAGTCACCCCTACTTCTTATTTTCTTTAGACTAGCTGAACCCAAGTCCTGCAGCCGTTCTTCATATGTTTTAGTCTCCAGGCCTTGGATCACCTTAATTGCTCTTCTCTGAACTTTTTCCAAGGTCTCAACATCTTTTTTGTAGTATAGTGACTAAAATTGGTTGCAGTATTCCAGATATGGTCTTACTAGGGTTTTATAAAGCGGTACTACTACTACTACTGCTACTACTATTACTACTACTACTAATAATAATAATAATAAAGTTGGAAGGGACCTTGGAGGTCATCTAGTCCAACCCCCTGCTCAGGCAGGAAACCCTATACATTTTTGACAAATGGCTGTCCAGTTTCTTCTTTAAAACTTCCAGTGTTGGAGCATTCACCACTTCTGGAGGTAGGTTGTTCCTCTGGTTAATTGTTCTAACTGTCAGGAAGTTTCTCCTTAGTTCTAGGTTGCTTCTCTCCTTGATTAGTTTCCATCCATTGCTTCTTGTCCTGCCTTTAGGCACCTTGGAAAATAACTTGACTCCCTCTTCTTTGTGGCAGCTCCTGAGATATTGGAACACTGCTATCATGTCCCCCCTCGTCCTTCTCTTCGTTAACTAGACATACCCAGTTCCAGCAGCCTTTCCTTATATGTTTTAGCCTCCAGTCCCCTAATCATCTTTGTTGCTCTTCTCTGTACTCTTTCTAGAGTCTAAACTTCTTTTTTACATCATGGTGACCAAAACTGGATGCAGTACTCCAAGTGTGGCCTTACCAAGGCATTGTAAAGTGGTATTAATACTTCATGTGATCTTGATTCTATCCCTCTATTAATGCAGCCCAGCACTGTGTTGGCCTTTTTGGCAGCTGCAGCACATTGCTGGCTCATATTTAAGTGATTGTAATAAATAATACTTTACATTATCTTGATTCTATGCCTCTGTTTATACAACCCAGGATTGTATTAGCTTTTTTGGTTGCTGCTGCACACTGCTGGCTCATGGTCAAGTGATCGTCCACTAGGACTCCAAGGTCCCTCTGACAGTTACTGTGTTTGAGCCAGTCTCACTAATCCTGAGTTTATCTTCTGGGGTATTGGCTATCCCTGCCAGTTTAGTGTCATTTGCAAATTTGATGAGTTCCCCTTCTATTCCCTTATCTAAGTCATTGATGAAGATATTGAAGAGTACTGGGCCTAAGATGGAGCCTTGTAGTACCCCACTGCTTACTTCTCTCCATGTGGATATAGTACCATTGAGGACTACTCGTTGAGTACGGTTTGTCAGCCAGCTACAAATCCATCCCACCTTTTTCTAGCTTACCAAGCAGTAGATTGTAATCTATTTGTTGTCATGACTATTTACCTTAGTATTTTAAGGTAAAATTCTAAATTTCGATTTGGTTGGTTTGGGAGTATACTGTACTTCACAATTAAGATTTGTAAGCTGTTTATAGCCTTTTTGTGTTTTTGAATCTTTTGAGTTCAAAAGTACTGCAAATTTATTTCATTCTACCTATACACAACAATCTGAACTTCCAGTGGCCATGGTGAATTGGGGCCAGATAAGAGTCAGCAGACTTCAAAAGGGCGGCTGGATTTAGGCCTCTTATGAGCATGTAGAGATTTCAAACTGATGATGCGTTTGACTCTGCCCTCTGGCTCCATCTGGTCACTCCTACATTTTGCAACAGAGTGGCATATATATTGCAGAAATAAATACATACATTTCAGTAGCATGAGTACACATATTCATAGTAATGCTTTTTTCAGTGGTGGTTATTCTATAGGTTTTGCTATATGGTATAAGAATTCTTTGATGATCCTTAATTTTATTGGCACTTTTATATTGGCATAGACTTCTGTAAAAGCAGATGGATAGATAGGTCATGGAATAAATGGAGGACAGTAAATGTTCATAAATTTCAACAAAAGGGCCTATTCTCAGATATAAGAAATGCTGAAAAGGCATCAGAATGATTTCTCTGATCTTACTGGTAGAAATAATACTGACAGGAGCAAGAACACTATAAATACTGGGGAAGTAAAATGAAATATTTCTTTTTGCAGCAGGAAAAGTATCAACAGGGAAGGGAGATATAACACAGAGTCAACAAAGAAGATTATAAGATCACTCCAGAAAACAACAGGAGGGAGGATATAAAAATGGTTGAGTAAGAAATCCCTTACTTGGGGGGATAAATGCAAGCATTAATAACAAAAATCCTTTAGCCAGGTTACCCTAAAATTTAAAGAAATAGGAAGAATTTTGTTGTGTTTTGGTAGCCATCCTTAAATTGATTTATTGGGCTGAGAAAGGAATCCAAGTGATATTAAGTAGCTATAATTATTGACAGGTATTATTATTTGTGTGAAGCTAGATATTATCATTTTAAGCTGCTGGTTCTTATGTACTCTTAATATTATTCCAAAATGTTTATTCTGTTGCCATTTAACTGATTATCCGAATTTACCTTTGAAAGAGTTTTACCCTTAAAAGTAGCCTATCATTTAAAACCTATTTAAATAATAAATAAAAGTCCTTTATAAACAGTGAAAACATGCTTGAGGGCTGCTGTATGGAGAATAGCTTTTTTATGTATTAGCCCATTTTACAGTCTCCATAAATAAAGAACATCACAAGGGAAGGTGATTGTGATACCAAGAACTTAAAGCATTAGTTTTCTTTGAGCCAAACTTCCTTTTTATACAAATGGAAATCCATTTTTTATACTTATATAATCAGAAATGGATGATCTATTCCTAAAGGGTTAAATGTCCCTGCCTCCAAGGAAATGACAAATAGAATCCATGTAGAAATGCTTTGTTCTTCTACATTTAGGGAAATAGAAATGGCTTTCTATGAAAAAAATGTAGGTAGTTTATGGAAACAATTGCTTTCAGAATCTGAAGGAAGATGGATCAGTTATTTATTCCGTAGATATAGTATGTGATTCTTGTATTTCTCTTCATGAACCCACTACACCAGGAAAAAGAAGGACCTTACATGTAGTGCTGATTTTATTTTACTTAGCATCAGTTCTCAAAAATCATTCCTGATTCAAATATGCATATTCATTCCTCAGTGACCATAATACCCATGATTTTGATACCAAGGCAGTTGAAGGGTATATGTTTAAAATAGAATCTACACACCTTGTTTTCAATACCCTGCTTGGGGATGTTGAACATCCTGTTTCCCCTCAATGGGACCTAAGAAGAGTGCCTTTTCCACTCTATCCATTGGAACACCATCCTCTCAAGAGTTTCAGACTGTCTTGGCCCTCCAAGCCTTTAAATGATATATGAGTTTTTCTCCAAGGTCCTAGATAGTTTGTGGTGTGTCTATTTGGTAGGCAGTGTCTGTTCCAGTTAGGGTATATCTAGTGGTGACTGTTATGTTACTTTTTGTTTTGTTTTTAGGTTAGGTATCTGTTTTTGATATATACTCAGAACCAAGGTAGATGGCCATATAAACCTAAAAGTTAAGCATAAATAAATAATAAATAAAATGTAATAAATTAACTGGGTTCTGGCAACATATCAACTGAAATTCAAACCAACCACAACTGTGGTTCTTATATACACAGTTAAACTGTCAGAATTTAGTACCTAATCCAACTGAATTCACAGGTCCAATTTAGAAAGTTTGTTTTGGTCTAAACCAATATGGTTTTATTAACCATATTGGTTTAGATGTATTAAAGATACATTTTGTTAACAACTGTCTTTTATCCTGCTGTTACCACTTTTAGAAAACTTACCAAGAGATGCATCTTTATACAGTATTGTTTTATAATATTTTATAATATTAATTATTTTTAATTATATGTTTTAAATTTTTATTTTATATATTTTCTACTACTCTTAGCCACTTGGAGTATTTTTGTATTAAGGTACAAATTCAATAAGAGGAACGAGGGGGGGAAATGACAAGTGTTGCCACTTTCTTTAAAAACCCATTTGCAACCATTTTTGAGAAAGGTCTACTATGGTATATAGACCATTGTTGAATCTAACAAATTATTAAGAAATAAGTTCTCCAACACTGTGCAAATTTACCAAGTCTAGATTATATTAAATCTGAAAAAGATAGAAGGGATCATTAAAACATTACTTACAGAGATAGTCCTTGACTTATCATCGGTCATTTAGCAACCATTCAAAGTTACTTCAGGCCCCAAAAAGGTACTTATAACAACCGGTTCTCTGTGTGGATGCCACTTCTGAAAGTCCATTCTGGGCCTGGGCAAAAAAAAATTAGCTACGGATTCTGCCAAACTGGTGTGAACCAGCTGAATCCCACCACTGCTTACGACCCAGATCAAAGTTCCAATGGCCAGGAAGCACATATGAAGGCCAGGAGGCACTCCCAAAGAAACTGAGGCCATGTGAGTGCATTTTGGATGCCCACAACTGTCCCACATTTAGAGCTGTTTTTTGCTGGAAACTGGAACAAAAAAATCCCCCTTCTGGAGGAAGCAAAAGCAAACAAAGAAGGGTGGCCTCAGTCTTTAAGAATTCAGAATAAGTCAAAACCAGGAATATGTGGTCAATCCCAATGTTCTGAGGATAGCCAAAGTACACAGCCTCTTTAGAAAAAACACTCAGTCTCAGATCACAAAGCTGAACAAACTGATATTCCATAGAAAAGCAACCATACAGGAATACGTAGCAAGTGGATGTTTGTAAATAACCAGTTAATTTCTACTGTGGAGAATGTATGCTTTAGGCAATTTAAAGCTACTGGAGTCTCATTACTGCCTTCTCTCCTGCAAATTTCTTGCTAAGAGTGTTATCCCAGATACCTATGAAAAGAAATGTACCAGCAAGTGAAAATTCTGATAAAAACCATTACAATTCATTTCTGACATGTACACTTGAAGGTCACATGTCCCAATGACACCTTAAGGAAGAAAATCAGCCAAGGTTTCCTGAAAACTGTTCAGTGAAAAGCAGCAAACACAGTCCCCACACACACATACTCACATATACTATATATCCACAAAAACCTTAAGCAAACACAATAGCTGCATGTAGGAGTGGTGAGTATATTTAATTTTGATTCATGAATTCGGTTTAAACCTTATAAAAACATAAGGTATTTAAATTAGTAGAAGGTAAATCACAGCAACAAAATGGCAAGGTTTAATATTAAGATAAGTGACATGCATGAAGTCATTGTATTAAAATATTGTTTTCTTACTGTTTGGCACAGATGGTGCTGGTAATTAATACTGTGTTTTAAAAAATACAGGAAATTCCCTGGTTAGAAAAGATGTATACACTATGTAATAAATAATTTTATTACTTAGTAGGTATTAATGATTCCTTGGTTGAATTTAGGGCACAAACAACTGGAAAATTAGAAAAGTAACACTATTGAAGTAAAATAATCTTTTAAGGGCTAATATTTTTAACGATAAGAGAAAAAGTTTCTATGGTTTTTCTAGCACATATTCTAAGGCATGAAAGTTACCTATTTTTTCATTTATTTTTCTTTTTGTTTGCTTGCTTTTTTTATTTATTTAGCATCTAAAATAAACTGTATGGTTTATTTTGTGTTGCCTGGCCCATGTCCTTACAATAAAAAAACATAGCAAAATGAAAAATGGATGAGGATTGTGTAGGGGGAAAATATAAAATTTTGATGCATTTTTAAGATCTATTTCGTTCTCATTAATCTCAGAATTAATCTCCTCAGTGAATATAGAGGCTACTATTGTAAGACATGAATGGGGGGGGGAACAGAGTGGTTCAGAAAGAGTGAGACAAAGATGCATAATATTGTCATGTCTGTTCTAACTGTATAAGATAGGCAAGTGTCAGACACAATATGCAGTATTAAAATTGAGATCAAAGCACTAGCAATTTAAGATATGCATAAGACACCTTTTTGATATTTATAATTAAAGAAAATGTAGAATCCTAGTTTCATTACAAAAATAAAATGGAACTATTTTGTCAACAATAAATACCAAAAAGGAAGGTGTACACCAGTCTACATTTGTAGATAACATACAGTTGATGGTGAAGAAGTGAAGGTTGTAGATCTTTTTGTTTCCCCATTCTCAAGGATAGATAAAATGAGCAGTCTTCCAGACAAATAAAGAGATTAATCCTACAAAAGATCACTATAACAAATTTAGACAAGATAATGAAAGATATGGATTATTCCGTTAACAAATATTATAATTGTTAATTATTTTTCCAATGGTATCATAAATCTGTTTTGTTTTTTTTTGCGCTTGTGTGTATAGGCTTGAGCAATAAATCTTTCTGAACTGCAACTCAACCTATGGTCCTGATCCTTTGCACCTGATAGATTCCTATATTTAAGAATTTCCTTCAACAGGTAAGGAGGAAACAAATTAGTATCTGATGTCTTATCTTTGTGTCAGATTTTACACTGGGGTTCAGTAGTAAATATGGCTTCCCAGCCTTCGTATTAGTTATTTAATCCTTTATGCAGTACTAACTAGAATTGGCAGAAGACTCTCAGACCTGACTTGGCCAAATTCGCTCCTTTATTGCTGACAAAAATAAACTTATAAACACAAGCAGAATGCCCCTAATGTAGAAGGAATTCAAAACTTTTTATATGCTAGAGGAAATGTTTTTTCCTTCCATCTTTCTCAGCCAATTGGCACTTGATAGCCTGAGGAAGTAGCTAGGGAATGTTTAATAACGTTTTTCTCTAGCCTGGGAACTACTGGTTCCAGCTTCAACGTTATCATCCTTTACAGTCTGATAGTGATACATTAAATATAAATGCTCCTGAAGTCAAGCTTGACTTTTTAAAATAATTATATTAAATTAAGCTGTTAATAAAAAAAGTAAAAACTAACACAAACAAAAGTAAAAGTAAAAGTGCAGAAAAAAAGGAAGGGAAGGGAAGGAAGGGAAGGAAAGGAAAGGAAAGGAAAGGAAAGAGATAACAAAGACAATAATAAATAAGAGCACAAGCAATTATACTAACTTTTCACCCTCTTTTAAAGCTACAAATACAACCCTCCCCTTATCTCCATAGCCTAACTTTTACCTAAATGCACTCCAGAAATCACCCTTTTCAATTCTGGTTCAGCAAAAAAATCTGTCAGGAGTTACCAACAATATCAAACAAATAGTTTATCCTTGATCAAATAGTCCAATCTTATATTCCATTTTTTTGCTCTGCAGTCTTGACCTTTAAATCCTTCCTATGGCAATTCAGATTTTGATCTTTTATCACACTTTGATATTAAAGAAAACTCTTGAAAGCTCACACTAGCCTAGTCTGTAAATCACATAAAGAGGCATTATCCAGGATTTCTTGTTGGAGTTGTTCCGTTTCTAGATCCTTTTTTTTTTCATTTGTCTTTGGTATTCCCATTTTGTTAATCTCAATTTTGTTGTCTTCCAGGCCTCCAACACTAACTCTATGTCAAGAAAACATTTTTAACAATTTTTTCATCATCTTCTAAAAGTTTACCCATTAAAATCTGTATTCTTTCTAAGATATTAATATTTTGTGACAAGTAGAAAAAGTATTTAAGATAAGAAAAATATACAGCTAGTTTCATTATAACTCTTTTCTGCCAGGTCCTTTAGGTCCATTTAGTGTCCATTTGCAACCTTTATCAAGCCTCAGTACCTAATATGGATTTAATTCCATTCTAGTCATTTTCCACAAGTATATTATTTAATTATATACATGTCTTTCAAATCTTATAGCAAAAATAATCAGTATTCTAAATCTCTCTAGTTTCCTGATAACATTTTAAATTTTCTTAAATCAAAATCCTTTCCCCCTCCGCTTTTTGGTAATTGTATATATTATTTTAAATTTCTAAGACTCTATTTAAGATTTCTAAATTTCAAGGAAGGTGAAAATCACCAGATGTCAAATTAAACTTGCTGTTTTGAAAGTCTCTCATATCCATAAAGTGATTAAACTGAATTTTTCCAAAAGTGATTAGAAAGTCAGATTGATTATATCCATGAAAGGCTCCACTGCAGCTAAGAGCAAAGATGTCATCTCCCTCCCTTAGGTCCTCGCTCTCAAACCCATGGAAGACCGGTTTTTATGATTTCCTCAAGGAAAGCTGTCATTCAGAATACTCATGGGCAATATCCCAATCTCTCCTTTTCCAGAAAAATTTGAAGAACCGACTTACTTGTTAGTCTTTCATTCTACACAGCATATGTCATCTCTGTTCATGCAGTCAGCTATGTCTTCAGTCAGCTATGTCTCACACTAGAAACCCAAGTCAAGCTTGATTCCTGTGTCTATATTCTTTTTCCTTGATTGTTTTTTTTTTTTTTTTGCTTTATAGATGAAAATCCGGAATTATTTTAACAGGAGCAGGCTTGATTCTTAATGACCAGGGCAATCTCATGCTTAACTTCATGCCCTGCAGATTCAGGAAACATAATATATCTATATTGGCTGGCATTAATCAAGCTTCAGTCTAGCATCTCTGGAAGCCTCAGTTTGGAAAAGGCTGTCTTGCGGTTGTCTGGAAGCATTAATATTCTCTAGTACAATGTTCAATGTTTAAAACACTTGCATGACAAATCATATAAAATAATTTTAACGTAATAACAGTTTTGAAAATTGAGTTAAAACTGACCTCATATATGTTAGCTCTAAGAGCCTTAGCCATACAGTCAATGGTACTGAATGATACAGAGTTTGCTATTGGAGGACTAGGATGTTCCATATGCAAACACCATCTTTAAAATCTGAAAAATACAATTTATTATGAAATACAATGGCCTCTTATCATTGGTGTACTTTATCACCAATGTGATTTTACCCGACAGTGGAGCTTATGGGAAAATCTAATATCCTATACAAGTGGCTGGAATGAGCCAAAATAATGGCATCAGCCAAAAAGAATATAAGGTTTTCTTAGAGTTCAAACTGGATACTTGATTTGCTTTCTGTAACAATCTCCTCTGCGAGATAGCAATCAGACCCTTTAATATTTCAGCATACATTCAGCTGTGAATGTAATCGCTCTGCATTCTAAATATTTCATCTGGTATTCTGCTAGTAGTCAGGGACTAGACTGATCTACACAAGACAGCACAAGTAACATAAAACTATATAATCTATTTATACATTAAACTCCTGTCACACCATAGAGACAAGTACTCATTTAAGCCGGTCAAATTTGACATTATTGGGCAGAATGCTTAAAAATAAAATGCTAGTGAAAAGCAACTGGAAGGTAAGAAAATACTGTGCATACAGAAGTTAGACTGATGTTGTACATGCAACTTCCATATGAATTTCTGAGTACTAGGACAGATAATATATAGATATAAATATCAGAATAAATTAATTAAGGATTATTTGATATTCTTAAATTCCTCTTTCCATTGCAAGTGATTTCTTTCTAATTTCTTTCTGGGTGGGCACAAGGTGACACATCATAAATACTCATGAGCTGGTTTTACAAAAACGGACCTGATTTTTCTAACTATAGATGGTTTTATTTTACAGAAATTGCCTTTCTGAGTACCTGCAGGAAATATTCCCATGATTTAAACAGCATAATAGAAAATATGCTCAGTTCTGAGCATATTCAAAGGGTTACTTATATTTTGAGTTGCCACTACCATTCTGAAATTGACACTAGCTAACTTGATAAACCATTTGATCACTGTTCACAGACCAGAATAAAAATTTAAACATTAAAATAAAACCGTGTATTACAATTGATGGTGAAATCATGGATGGGCAACCAAACTTTGTCTGATTTTACAGATAGTATAGCAGAATTTGTTCAAAAAACCTGAATCATACTGATCTGATAGTAACAGCTATACCTGAAAGAGATCAGAATTTACTGGATATTTTGTCAGGTAAGGAGTTATAAAATGAGGCTGTGCATCCTTACAGAGAGTATGATATAACAGGACATGAGTTGTGTTTCAATGGCCCTTATCCACAGGGGCACAAACTCAGCTCAAATGAGACTTTTTTCCATTGACCTCCAGAACTACAGTGGAGAGAGCATTACAATGTGATAAACCATTTGAGTAGTGAGTTTGGGGAAAAAGCTTGCCCTGTGGGTATGGAAAGAAGCATTTTGATACTCTCTATCTAGAGGCCTCACAGAAGGGTTAGGTTTAGAGAAGAAAAACCCTTTTTCATATCCTATGCAAAGATCTCTGAGCTAATGTGGGGTAATGACATAGTTGTATCTTGAGAATTTTACATCTGTTGAGATCCCTTGAAAGGGTACAAGATAATATTCATATAAGTTACCCTGATATAAAGAAGCTGCCCTTGAAAAGGGTCTGAAAATACAGTTGATGCCAAATAACAAGTGCAAGATATAGGAATCATATAATGCCATACAATTTCCAGCTGAACTGAAAAATCTGCACTGTTTGTGAGACACACTTGGCTCTGATCTTTAATGCAATTCATTTCAGCAGAATTTGCCAAGGATCAGTTCTCTGTGGAATTAGCTCTCTTCTTATGAACTTGCATGGCCACTCAAGTCAACAGAAGAGGAACTTTTGAAGAAGTTCCCATTGCCATAAATATGTTCTTCCAAGACAGAATCTCCTACTGCATGTATTCTAGGCCAGATGATCTTCCCAAGGAAGTATATTTGATTTCCATTCTCCTAATAGCTAGGAAAATGGAAAAGACAACCAAGCCTCTCTCCTCTCCTCTTTCTAATTTATATAGTTGTCTATCTCACAAAGCAAGAGTAAAACAATAAATAAGTAAGTAAAAACCATTATAGTTAACAATTGCTAAGAAATAAATTAAAAACCATGAAATTTAATTTCAAATTTTAATGTATTACGTTTAATTGTTTATTACTTTGATGTTAACATTTGCTTTATAATTTGCATTTGTTCTCAATGTTATAAGTTGCCCTGAATGCTAATATGACTAGAAAAAAGTATAAAGCTAATCAACCACTTGCAGTTTTAACCATCATGTTAAATTATGGTGGCAAGAACCAATATAGATATATATCATCCGTCTCTCAGGAGGAGGCATCAGCAAACTGATGATCCAAGGCTCAAATAGTTCTTACATAACATTTTGAGGGGGCCTGTTTGTTTATTTACATATTTATTTAATGAACTTGTAGCACCAGGTAGGGTGCACAATAATAAATAATTAAAAGAAGAAAATATCTACAATAGCAATAAAAACATACAGCAACCTATTTTGAGAAGGAAAATGCTTTATAACTTTCCATGGGATTACAAATAATCCTGCCCCAGATCTCGATAAACATTGTAAGATATTAATATGTAGCTTAACATTTAGTTATTTTTAATTCTCCTATGAGCCCATACTGGCCAAAACATACAGATACAGGAATTATATATTCTTCTTTAAATTCTTGGAAATATATATATTCAGATTTAACATGCATATGTACTAGCCTTATCAACCTTATGCAATTCTATCTTCTTTTGAATAGCTTAGTGGTTCTATATCCAATCAAATGTTTATTATGTAATCAGTGAATTAAAAGATAATTTGTATAAGTCTATAAAGTCATATTGTAACTCTGCCCTTTTTAGACTACTTTATCTGTCTCTGATACCAAAACCTGTCAATAAATCAATCTGTGCTTTGATGTAATTGGCTTTTGGTTTCCAGTTTAAATATATCACTGGGAGAATTCTCCTAGTCCCTAACATCTTTGCACTGTAGTGAGTAAACAAGTATTGTGTGGGGGGCTTCTTTCTTTTTTGTAATAAAAGTTTTGATGTATCTGAGCTGTGTCTGTAAGATTTTTTTCCAAATCAAGCTAAGTGTTATGCTCAGGAGAAAGTGTCAGGACATTGCTGATTTACTGTCAAATTCAGGAGTGAAGCTGTAAAGTGTTCACAGTAAAATAATGAACAAGAATTCATGTCTGGGCTCTGGTTGACCCAGTCTTTAAGTCCTTGGTGACTGAGACAATCTCATTTCCGAACAAGCCAGATTTATACCATTTCGAATACATATTTGCAAATTTTGGGGCAGATAGCAGAGCTCTTCTGACTTCAAGTTACATGAGCCATCTTTCAAAGTTCATAACATATACATAGAAGGAAGGGGAGATAATAGTCTATCATCCAATAGCAATAAGCATAAGATTAGCAATCAAGCTAATATGAATGCAGCAATAAATCATCTGTCTCCTGACATATTACCCTTATCATAGTTATTGATTTGACTTGGCAGAAAACTCACACATGGCTTACCACCAGAAGAATCTTTATTACAGATAATAATGAAGCCATATACACAACAGTTGATGGCCCACTGCAAAGATAGCTGGGAATTTTATATAAATTCCCAAGAATTTAAACTTGAGGTTTCTTTCTCCCACCCTCTGAATTAATAAATATTTAGTATTGTGCTTTTGTGGCCTCAAAGTGGGATAGTTGTGGTGTATAAATATGCACTTAGATATACTACATACATAACAACCTGGTATACTTACCTTGCTAGTCTCATCCTTTGAAGTTCAATCTTAATAAGATATCAAAATGTGTCTGATTTAATACAATGGCCAAAATTTTGAAGTACAATCAGAAAGTCTTTAAGTGTCATTACCGTGACTAACTCACTGTGCAGCTTTAGGAAAACAATTATTTCCACATAAGAGGGATAATAATACTGGCCTCACCATTTTAAAAAAAGTTTGCAACAAGTAATATAAGTCCTATGTGACTCAGTGTCTTAAGTATTTGCAAGACTCCCTTCTCCAATCAGTTTTATGTGTGTCACTTGGAAAAGTTGTTTGTGAGTTTCCATTTTTGTGAGGTTTAAGGAGATTAATGCCCAAAGATAGCATTTGTCATTGATGGCATTTCATGGAATAGGAAGTTATTCACCTCTCTTGCGGTGGATGGTGATAAGAAGGTGGTCAAGAAAAACTTTTCAGGAGAGTGTTTAGACACAGCTTAGTGTGACATTGTTCTTGAGGTTCTTTGTAATGATTTCATTATGAATTTGTTAGTAGTTTTATTAGTAAAATAGAATGATTGTAATATTTTGTATTGTTGAATTCTGTATATTGTTTGGATGTCTTACTAGTTTTCTTAACTGCCAAGAATTCTTGAAGATTTTTGGGTTCTAAAAATTAATTTATGGATATTGGAAAGAGTTTAATTGATTATTGTTGTTCGTTTTCCCACTAACAGAAACTAAAAGAATTTAGTCTGGTTAATATTCTTTCCAGAGGACTTTACTAATTGAGTAGATAACCCATTGCAAGTGTGTTTGTCTGTGTGTGTCTGTCTATGTGTGTATTCATCCTTTAAATAGAAAAATGAGAAATCACAGAAACATTTGTCTGTTTCATAAGAATGCAGATATATTTATTTTTCCTTAATTAATGTATGTAATATGCCTTTTCTTGTTACAACCTTTGTTATTCAGTGATGACACATCATCATGAAGATTTGTGTGTACATCATTTAAAATAAAATAAATGGAGATGTTTTTGCATTAAAGTGCTAGAAGTTCTATTTGTCATTAATTGATTTGTGTACTATATTTTGGATTTTCAAACATGCAAGCGATGTGACTGTATTTAAACATTCTTTTGAAGAATAACAATGTTCTCAGTCCTAAAAGGAACCTTGAAATAATCCTCCAGTTAGAGTTACAAACATGGATATTTGTAATACCATCCCAGATTTCGCCTTAAGGTTGTGATTGCCTTAAGGTTGTGATTACCCCCCCCCTTCTCTTATATCTTTGCTATGTTCCTCATTTTATCTGATGTATTATACATTATTTTGCATGTGTTTTCATTGATCTAATAAAAGCATTGCCCTCATATGGAATTCAGGACATATTCCCAGTAAACTCTAAAATTGTTCCTTAATGTAAAAAGTAGCTTGGAGATCAGTATGTTTTCCCCAGAAAATCTTGTCTTTCTTAGCAATCATGCACAAGATTTGTCTCTTTTATTTATTGACATAAAAGTAGGCAGAGTTGGAAGTTAAATAAAACCCTTCAATATTTCTCCTTACTCGCAATGATTGCAACTAACAAATACTTTGAAGATCCAGTTAAATGCTCACTCCCAAAATATTGTACCAGTTGACAATTTGAATATCCAATCCTTTCTTTTTAACAGCTTTTAATTTAACATGTGTCAGTTACAGATGTGTTTTAAATGTTGCTTTCATGGTTTTATAATTTAAATACAATTACCAAAGCTTATGTTGAATTATGATTGTTTTAATTCATTTTTAAAACTGCTTTCATATGTTCATCTGTATTTTGGAGAATTTAAGTACAGCCTTTCCATCAGCACATGTAGCTAATGTGAATATGATTTGGGGGAACTGCAGTGGACTATACATACATTTGGAAATGCTATCACTAATCTCCACACCTTTAGCAATAATTTACGGTTTGAAAATAATTGTGTATCATTGATTTTCTTCTGTGATTTTGAAATGTCTATATGAATGGGAATATTCCTCATTGAATGAAACCATTGCCTGCAATGACAAACTAGAATAGCTTATTTTGCTTATGTTCACTTCACAGCAAATGTCTGCAAATAGAAAATGTTTTTGAAATATCATTTTCTCTTATTATTTGGAAATGAACAGAACTATATTTACTTTACATTCACCAAAAGCTATTACAGCTTTTCATTCTGTTTCAATGTATGGTTGAAAGAGAATAAGACAGTTTTATAATTATAATGACAATTTAAAATAGCTAAGTTTCTTCTGCAGTCAGTGTCAAAAATAGCACCTTTAGTTCTCTCTTAATTCTGAATGTCATCATTCAGTAGTGTATATACTCTGGTTTTCTAACATTGAATATTAGAGATGCACTGACACATAGCTCTGATTTTATGGATGATCAAGAAGAAGACTGAGAAACAGGAACCTTCAGTCACTGAAAGCTGCTGCTACCCCTTTTCTATTCAAGAAATGTGTTTGGACTAAAATAGAATAAAGCCAGAACAATTGGCAATAATCTGAATCTGGATTCAGAATATCTGAAACAATCAGTGGGACGTCATCAATTCCTCCATTATCTCTAACTACCCTTGAAAAACCTCAAGACAGTCTGAATATTTCATGCTGTAAGTTACTTTGTTAAAAACCTGAATATAAAAAACAATATTTTTTAGATTTTTTAAAAAAGCTACTTTTGACACGGCAAATATTTCCCGTGAGCATATTCAAAGAGGCATGGTTTTAACTATGCTTCTTTACATTTCTTGCTTTATATCCCATTCAAAATAATAGCATTTAAAATAAAAGTAAAACATTCCACCAAAATCTAAAACTATGCAATTAACTTTGACCCTTATGAATTGACTAAAGAGGATTCCATAACACTTGCTCCATTGTTTCATGTCTCCTTCAGGATGTTTAAGAAGAAGATAAGATCACCCAAATATGTGATAAGAAGATATTAATGGTACATATACCTCCCTGGCAGGCATTCCTATCATGTCATATCGAAGTCTAGCAAAATGTTGAAAGTTAGAAATGTTATCAAGCATTAGCAGGCATTTAAAGAACGTCTCTTGAATATTTCTAGCACAGAAAGTATTTCATGTGATGTAAATTAATGGTAATTTTTCTGACTTTAAAAGAGAGCTCTGCCAGAACATTTCAGTGGTCTGGACCCAATTCTGCTAAAAGGGAGATGCTTTCCATTTTCTCTGCCTGCTTTCCCTCCTTAGATGGCTGTGATTGTAACAAAATTAATCCATTTAAAAATCTATGGCTTAAACTTAAGGATTTTCATTTCCCCCTCCCTTCTTTTTTTTCTTAGAATATCAATAAGTTCCAATTGAAGAGCGGATTCTTTTGCAATTCAGGCATGTGCCGGCGATAACGGGCGAGTTGGCATGAAGAGAGGCAGAGATGGATTAATTATGCAGAGAACATGGAAATTCTGCTTATCATCGGCTAGCAAAGGAGCCCAGCTCACATAATCAGCAAACGAAGGGAGAGAAAAAAATAACAATGCAATGGCACCTTCCAGCCCATCATCAGGATTTTTCTACCCCCTTGTAATTAAAAAATAACATACACTTATAGCCCTATCTCCTGTGCAGGCAAAGAGTGGATGTCCACAAAATAATTGCACTGGGATATTAGAGCTGGAAACAAGAGCTGCCCATTCCTATACTGTACCAAGTCTCCCCTCCTATTCTCTCCCTTGGCCTCTGTAAGGCACTTCCTTTCCGTCTGGAATCTGAATCAGATGGAGGTCTTCAGCCAGGTGACATCCCACCTTAGTGTCCATGACTTCAAAGCTCATCCTTATCATGATAATTCTTAAGAGGCCAAAGGCTCAGGGGTTGTTATTCATCTCACCTGCAAGCTATCCAAAAAAATCACACAGAAAAATCCAACCCAATTGGCATTTTATTCAGCAACAAAATAGACTGAACATCATAGATACTCTTACATATTTTGTCTTTTTCACTGCTGTTCCCAAAGATCACAGCTGCTAAGAACCCTTCTATGCTGCTAGTGCATAGTTCTGGAAATTAAAAGGAAAATAAACTGTCTTACTTTTAAGCTAAAGGCAAAAACAAATGCCAGGATATGGCTTACAAAACCTAGGCAGGCAGGAAGGAAGAAGGAAATGAGAAAGTTTATGTATTGCCCCAAATAAAACAATTTCATATTTGAGTCCTTTGGACTATTGGATGACATAATCTATTTATATTCTTATATGCAAAATGCTTCATAATCACAATGCACTGGTAATTCCTTTTGTTAATGTGTTGCTGCTCCTTGCGTCTTTTTTTAAAAAAAAAACAACGTAGACGTGTTCCTTACACGTGGATAGAGGGATTCTTGGTTTATTTTCTAATACATTTATTCAGCAGCAAAGGAAAGAGAAGGAAAAGAAAGAAGTCACACGCAGGTCAGAAGAAAAGTGCTGCCAAATATTAATAGGCAAACCATGCATGGTCTTCTCTTTACATGAACCACTGTGGGGTGCTCTAGGGAAAAAAACAATGGCTGATATTAATATAATAAGAGAAATGTGAAATAATAATCTAAGCTGGATGAATAGGTGCATAATATTCATTTTGGATGTCAACTAAAAAGGTCTTACTCTCTATTGCTCCAGGTTTTGATCATACTCTCCAAGTTAGCCTTTAAAAGCCAGGTTGTTATTGTTGTTGGTTTACATCTGGTACATGTGCATATAGCTTACTTAATGTCTATGGAAATTCTCAGTCATCCAGGTCATGGTTGTCTCAAAGGTGCTTTTTCAAAAGGCAACTGGATTATGTTTTTTCCTTGAAGAGGAGGAAGAGGAGGAGGAGGAGGAGGAGGAGGAAGAAGAAGAAGAAGAAGAAGAAGAAGAAGAAGAAGAAGAAGAAGAAGAAGAAGAAGAAGAAGAAGAAGAAGAAGAAGAAGAAGAAGAAGAAGAAGAAGAAGAAGATGATGATGATGATGTTGTTGTTTCACTTCTCATCCAAGAAGCTTCATCAGTTCTGGCTGGTGGGGGGATGGAAGGTAAGAAGTAATCTTTCCATCCCCCCCACCATCCAGCCAGAATTATGAAGCTTCTTGGATGTAAAGTGAAACATTGTTTTCTTCTTCAAAGAAAAAACATGGTGCAGTTGCCTTTTGAAAAAGCATCTTTGAGATACAGCTTGCCTCTACACAATTACTTGGAGCCCTCCATAGCTAAATTCTAAAATAATCTGTTCACTCAATGCTATTCTTTTCTTTTCTTTTCACCTAACAGACAGTGCAATATTTCTTGAGGCTTTATTGGATTTAGTGGACATTTTTAAGGTATAGAATTGGAGGTGATTCTGCCTCTTTTAAATATAATTCTGATACCCAGTGGATGGACTCTGATGGTTTCAGAAGTTGAAATGATCTAAATATCAGAAGAATCATTAAGCTTCCTAAAATAAAATCAGCCCAGGTTGTTCCTGTGAAAGTTGTAGTTTGAAACAATTGATACAATTACAGATGGCACCAGGAAATGGCAATAGCAATTTCAGTGGTCACTGGAAGGATGAAAATCTTTATTTTGGATCTCTGTATAAAATAAATTCCATTTTATTAATTTTTTGTACCCTTTTAACTCCTGTGATGATCCTACAAAAATGTTCTCTTTACTATATTATCTTCAATATTTTCATAGATCTATTCTTTTCATATAGACTCAGAATCATAATTTTGAATACAAAGTTACATTAATGAAATAATAGGTGAAAATTTCACCTCTTTTATTCATTCATACGTTCATTCATTCATTCATTTAGCATACAGTATATCATACATGATCTTGCAATATATATTAACATTACACCTAGATTAAAAAACATAATAAAATATGAATGTTAGGGATCTATATTCAGATACCAATGTCCAGGCCTTCTAACCATTGACGTATAGCATCATTTATATGAAAAAAAGTCAGATACTTGACAGATGTATGCCCCTAATTTACAGCTGGTCACAATGTGATCTATGGTTTGACATGGGATCCCACAGTCACACTGAGGGGAGGATACTATGCCTCATTTATATAGTGAGTCCCAGCAGATGCTGTTGATGTGCAAATCCTATTCAGAATTGTCCATTTACTTGTTTAACATTAGTCTGAGGCCTTTCTCCTCTACCCATTTAACCATCCTTGAATTAATGGGGAACTATATAAATGAAATGTGCATGTTCATTGCTGATCCGTATCATGTCTCTATTACCAATCATTACCAGTCACATGACTTTCTTCCATGATGACATAACCCGAACACATTCAACTTAAATGTAATAATGTGTTAATGTAGTGTAACAATAAAGATAGAGCTAAGATTCCTGGGTGTGCTTCTTATCTGGGCGACTTCACAGAGCTAACAATGAATGGCCTTTAGACTGTCAGAGGAAGAGGAAAATGGTATCTTAACATAGCTACAGCTAAGGATAATTAAAACCTGTCTCACTTATGGGCTTAGAACAAAATGTAGGCAATATAGGGACTATGCAGGGCATGTTTATATTATGCTTAATGCAGGTGGGGGCATGGCCTAGGTCACAGGTTGGCACCCTGCGGCTCCCAGCCTTCTCTGCCATTTGCAGAGAGAAAGAGACAGAGACAGAGACACAGAGAGAGAGACAGAGAGAGGCACTTGCACTTCCTCTCTCTCTCTCTCTCTCTCTCTCTCTGTGTTTGTGTGTAAAAAGAGTGGCCTCACCCTGTTCTCCGATGAGTTGACAAGCTTATTGGGTGGGGCTCCTGCCTTGTCTGCGTCTCTGCAGGAAACAGGAAGCAGGAGGGGCAGGAGAGAGCCAGCCCAATAAGAATGTGTGTCAGCTTGTTGGAGAACAGCTTGAAGCCAGCTTGCCAGGTGAGCAGAAGATCGGAGAGAGGGAGAGAGGGGGGGGGAGAGAGAGAGGGAGATAAAGAGAGAGGGAGAGGGGTAGAAGAAAGAGAGAGAAAGAGAGAGAGGGAGAGGAAGGCGAGAGGGAGAGAAAGGGAGAGAGAAAAAGAGGGAGAGAGGGAGAGAAAAAGAAAGGGAGAGAGAGGAAAGAAAGAAAAAGGGAGAGGAAAGAGAAAGAGAGAGAGAGGAAAGATAAAGAGGGAGAGAAAGAAAGAGAAAGGGAAAGAGGGAGAGAAAGAGAGGGAGAGGGAAAGAGAAAAGGAGGAGAGTGAGAGAGAAAGAGAGGAAAGAGAAAGAGAGGGAGAGGGAGAGAGAAGAAAGAGAGATAGAGAAAGAGAGAGTTCCTCAGGAACTTCTCTATGTGTAGATATTAGTGACTTGAGAGGCATCACTGTTTCTTGGGTAATTATGCTAAATTCGACACTCCATATTAAAAAAATCAGAAATTAATTATGTTGCAAAAACACCATATTTCTTTTACTAGGATTGCAATCCTTCTTAAGTCATTAGCAATAGCACTTAGACTTATATACTGCTTCATGGTGCTTTATAGCCTTCTCCAAGTGGTTTACAGAGTAAGTGTATTGCCCTCAATAATCTGGGTCCTCATTTTAACGAACTCGGAAGAATAGAAGGCTGAGTCAACCATGAACTGGTGAAGATCAAACTGCTGGCAGTTGGCAGAATCAGCCTGCAATACTGCATTCTAACCACTGTGCCACTGTGGCTCTTGTTACAAAACAATTGATCCTTTAATGATTTATAAAAAAAATAGAAGTTTGGAATTGGTAACAACTACCTTCTCCTGGAATGTCACCATGCCCCAACTCATTATACTGGATGCAGGCCAGATCAGCCCAGTATCTTCATTATATTTTATTCTGATTGGATCCCATTTAACTCTAGGTGCATAGTTAGTTGCCATTTAGTTCCTGTGACCTGTGCATTGAAAGGAGTAGTGGGCAAAACTGAATATGGATCAACCTTCAAGTTCCAAGACTGATGTATACTGTATGTTGATTGGTTGAAAATGCAAAGCCTGAATGGCCTGCAAGCATTAGAATGTTGACAGGTGATTGAAAAATATCCCTGTCATTTTGCTCTTAGGTTTAGGATGAAACTGAATGTGATCAGATAAACTATATTTTGGCTATATATTTTTATTTTGGCTAATTTATGAGAATTTGTTTTCTTGACATGAGGGTCTGAAGTTCCATTGACAGTTTAGGTTTTCTCTACATGTCAGATGAAGCATGAGCAGAGGAGACTAGTTCTTGTCCTAATATGTATACTGAGTATTCCCACATTGTGGTATGAACATCTATAATCTTGATGTCTGTAGTCAATCAGCTTTAATGTATAGATAAATGTGATTTTACTTAAATCCAGAAAGCAATCTACCGCTAGGAGCTTCTTGGCTTCTCATTCCACACCTGCCAATTTCATATTCTTCTTTTTCTTGTCATTGAGCTTGATGGGAAATTAGCACAAGGTGTATACATCTATAATCTTTTATATTTCCTGGAAATAAGTTTTAACAACTTTCACAATTGGAGTCAGATAATAGAATCCTCAGTAATCGTAACAGCAAATGGATTTGTAATCTACCCGTGATTAAAATTATTTTCATCATGAAGTAGAAATTCTCATTATTGTTGCCATTTTAATATTATCAACTATAAAGTGTCTTAGTGATTGATACTGTAGACAATGAAACCCTATATTATGGTAATTAAATTTAAAATGAATCAGCTCTCCTTATATGTCTCAGTAGTTCAGTACCTGATTATTTAAAAACAATTATCTTTTGATGTCACTTAATGGCGTTTGCTATTTTAACTGCCTACAGGTTTTTTTTTCAGAGACAAAAAGTTGAAACTTGGGTGGAAAATCTCATGCAATGAAGCTGTGAAATATCAAAGGACCAAGAATGAGTGGGTATAAAGAGGTCACTGGAAGCACTGGGTTCGTCCTTCCTTCCTTCCTTCCTTCCTTCCTTCCTTCCTTCCTTCCTTCCTTCCTTCCTTCCTTCCTTCCTTCCTCCCTCCCTCCCTCCCTCTCTCCCTCCATTCCTCCGTTCCTTTCCCATTCTTAATTCTATCCTTTTTAAAGCATGATAGAAATATAACATTCTGAGACAGATATTCATTTTGTATGATCTGGGTATAAAACATTTATGTACATGGGAACTGACGGGACAACCTTAAAAAAAAAAAAGAAATCCCAAGGGAATATCAAATTAAAATGACTGGAGACTGATTAAAACCACAGGAAATGTTAAACTATGCATCCCCAAGCCCACTTTTTCCACCTATTACTTTTCATGCAGACAAAGAGCTTCCTCAACAGGGGGAAAAAAAGTATATTTCCTATCTGCTTAATCCTAGCTAGTCCTCCTCTTCCGTTCTTTGACAGTCTCACTGCCGCCATCCCCCCCCCTCTTTTTACTACTGCCTGTTATTACAAGATACTCTTTTTATCCATTTTGGTGAAAATTTTAGTACAAAAACATTCTTTCGTATCTCTGCTCATT